TAGAATCTCTCTTGGCTTTGGGTGCCATAAAGAAGGTCATTTTATTACAACAGAGTTGTGCTATATAACTTGTAGCAAAATTTGATACCCAGGTCCTACCTTTATTAAAGATTACCATTTAGTTGTTTGGGGTCGTAGCTTTAGCATAGGAATTCTTAAAAGTTCCACAAGTGTTTCAAATTAGGCAGCAAAGTTTGAGGGCCTGCAGCCATATAATCTCACCAACTAGATTACAAAGTCCTTGAAGGAGATTATACAATAATCTTAAACTTGTATCTTCACATAGCAGTCAACTGTGAATTTATTGGAATGCTCATTATATAAACATTTAATGGTCAAACATAAAGGAGTCAGTAATTAGTTGTTCAGACTAAACAAATACCAGGAAAGCTGTGGTAAAGTATAGATATTTCTAATCATTGTTGAGAATAAAAAGAAAAATAATTGTGCAGTGTAGTAGGCATCCTCAGGAAGGGCTTCTTTAAAGAAAGAAGTAAAGGATCTTTGTTGAAAAGCAGCAGAGATTAGGAAGATGAGTTTGGGGATCCAGCTTAGGTAGCTGGAAGGGGCCATGACTCAGAGTATCAAGAGACCTCTGCTAGGACATGGAAAGTGTTTGTTATATTCTGAGTCTTCTGTGTTGAAGCCAGTTAAGAGATACCCTAAACTGAGCATTGGTTATGAGTTCAGTTCTGTTCAGATCTCCATTGAAAATCTTTCTTTTCTGTTTATAGTAGAAGTTGGAAACAGATGTATTTCCTCTTCAGAGAGACATGCAGATCTAAAACAGCTGGTGATGGCATGTTATCTTACACACTGAGTGTTCTATCCATAAGGGATGGTGATTCCGAGGCAGCAGTAATACAGAAAAGGGTTCCAGCTATCTCAGTGAAAAAGACCCCACAGGGATGGGGATGTGGCTCAAGCAGTAGCGTGCTCGCCTGGCATGTGTGTGGCCCGGGTTCGATCCTCAGCACCACATACAAAGATGTTGTGTCCACCAAAAACTAAAAAAAAAATATTAAAATATTCTCTCTCTCTCTTTTTAAAAAAAGAAAAAGACCCCACAGCCAAGAACTGAACCACCTTATCCAAGTTAATTATTATATTAATAATGTTAATTATTATATTAATGTAGTACTAACTTTGTATAATATATAATTATAATTGATACAATAAAAAAGTATGGAATCCTATAAGCACACGAGGAGAGTGGAGTAGATGCATACTCTTTACTATATGTTTTGAAGCTAAGAGTAACAGGTAAATACTGAGGTGATGAGGATTCAGATGGGCACAATTAAGGGAAGCATGTTTTCTCCCCTTAAGTACTTATGATCTATAAATGGCCCCTGAATTATGATGGTTTGACTTGTGATTCTTTGAYATTATGATGCACATGTGAGTGCAAATATATATACAGCCATTCTTTTTTATTTTCTTAAGAATTTAACTTTTGGGGCTGGGGATGTGGCTCAAGCAGTAGCGCACTCGCCTGGCATGCGTGCGACCCGGGTTCGATCCTCAGCACCACATACCAACAAAGATGTTGTGTCCGCCGAGAACTAAAAAATAAATATTAAAAATTCTCTCTCACTCTCTCTTTAAAAAAAAAMMWTTWAAAAARRAAAAAAARKTKRAAAAMMMMAAAWKKWAAAAAAAAAAAAAAAAAGAATTTAACTTTTATTTTATGTATTTGTTTTCATGTGGTGCTGAGGATCAAACCCAGTGCCTTACCCATGCTAGACAAGTGCTCTACCACTGATCTACAACCCTAGCCCTACATATAGCTATTCTGTTTTGGCTTTCAGAGCAGTATTCAGTAAATTAGTTATGAGATATTCAGCATTTTATTATAAAATAGGCTTTGTGTTAGACAGTTTTGCCCAGCTGTAAGCTAATGCATGTGTTCTGAGCATGTTTAAGGTAGATGAGGCTAAGCTAAGTTGTTCAGTAGGTTAAATGCACTTTCAACTTAAGATATTTTAAGATTATAGAGTTTATCTATAATCTGGAATCTCCAGTTTATCTGGAGATGTGGCTCAAGCTGTAGCGCGCTCGCCTGGCATGCGTGAGGCGCTGGGTTCGATCCTCAGCACCACATACAAATAAAGATGTTGTGTCCGCCGAAAACTAAAAAATAAATATTAAAAAATTCTTTAAAAAAAAAGRTGTAACCCTGTTGTAGGTTAAGGAGCAACTGTAATTTAAGAGATCTAATAATCTAATATGGTACGAAATGTATTATTATAATACTCTGTGTGGCCTAGACTCAGCTATCTAGGAGTTGAGGAGAAATAAAGATTGGGTACAGTGGTCCAGATGTGATGGCCTTTAAGCCAGACCCTGTTGGAGCCAGATCACAGATCTTAAACTAGAGTTCCTTGATAGGCTTCAATGGTATTTATATGAATGGAGTCTTATACATAGGGAGATGTCTTATACATTATTTCATATTTGCAAAACACTTTCTGCTCCCTCAAAATGGTAAAAATCCCATTGTCTACACAAATTAGGTGACGGTTTAGGAATTTAGTACAGCACTTGTAGGGGACAATGAATAAACTCATCAATATAAGGCTTCCCTCTTTTGTGGAACCTAGAATATGATGAAGACAATTTTGTGGTAAGAATAGAGAGGAAAGATTGGCCTTATCCCCACTCATGCTCTTCTAATACTAGTATGCTGTGGCCTTTTAAATTTTAATATTTGCTTTCTTAGGAAAATATTAATGGGTTCCAGAAGGAATAATGTATTCTAAATATTGTATGACTTTGCCCTTTTGTTTTTAACTGAAGGAGTCAGATAATTAGAAATAGATTTTAATATAGCAGTACTTATTTTATAAAATTCAACTGAGCCTTTTCCTAGTGGCCAGATGGTATCTCAGAGTTGTCTTTTCTGTTCTGAGATATTGATGGGGTGTAAGAGGGACTTATTAGAAGTGGAAAATTTAGTTCATTTATCAATAGAACTAAGATCTTTATCAGTCTTTTGTCTGCTGCATTTGGTTGTGAAGGGCTGTTTGTTAACATTCATTATTGATGATAGTCCCAGAAATGTTAGGTGGTTTTATATTATCAATATAATATAAATAGAGCAAGAGTTGAAAGAAGTGAAATCCCATATGATTGTAGATGCAAAAGTCTCTCTTTTTGGTCCTAAGTACTTAAAAAAAAAACAAAAACAGGGAATTATTGTTTCAAATTGTTTTTGCTTTTTTTTCATATGTGTGTGATACTGGGGATTGAACCCAGAGGTGCCCTACTATGCTATACTACTAGCCCTTTTTTGTTTTTTATTTTGAGACAGAATCTCACTAAAGTACCAAGACTAGCCTCCAACTTGGATCCTCCAGCCTCAGCAAGTCTCTCTTATGAATATGGGGTCTCACTGTGTTGCCAGGTCAGCCCTGAACTCCTGGGCTCAAGTGATCCTCTTGAGTCAGTATGGAGAACAGGCTGTGCCCTGCTCAGAGTTGCTCCATAATGTATAGAATAGCAGTCCTCAGACTGTACCTAAACATGACTGACTCCATTTTGTAAAGTAGACGAACTCCATTTTGATTACAAGTGCCAAGACAGAATGTCTCTATACCTTGTTTGTGCAAGTAAACAACCACATCTGCCCAGTACAACCTTAGGCACAAATTGATAAATAATTTATACATATTAATCAAATTCAGTCATGGAGTATCTGGACATACAGACATCCCAAATCACATCAGAAACACCAGATATAGGAGCTTATCAGCTTCGCMTAAGACCCATAAAAAGAGGAACTCCCTGAAACTGGCATAGCTAGCTCACAACACCCAGCCTGTGCCCAGCTAAAGACAGTATGAGTTTTTATAGGGTCTTTTTTTTTTTTTAGTTTTTTGAGTTTTAAAATCTTTGTTTTTGTGAATTGTGCACTGGGGATGGAACCCCAGGCCTTGCACATTCTAGGCAAGTGCTGATAAACACTGATTAACACCCCAGAACCCTAGAGTAACTTTTAAATCAGAGCTCTGATTCTACTTTTGTATCTCAAAGACTTCAGTTGCCCTACCATTGCTTATTGCTCAATGACCCTGGTTCTTAGCTATCATTCAGGTTTCTCTGTGGTCATGTTCTAACTGAGCTTTTCTATTTTTCCTGTAATTCATGCACTAATTAAACTCGGCTACTTGTTTTCTACTTTTTTCACGGGTCTGTGTCTTTGTTAGTATTGTATCTTCAGCTTGGCTTTTACTGTCAAAACCTTCCCCTGCTCCAGAGTCCAGTAAAACAGCTGAGTTTCTCCTTGAAGCTGTCATCCCCACAATCTCTCACCTCCACTAAAAGAACTCATTTTCCTATCTGAACTCTTAACTGGCACTTTGAATATGGCATAGCATTATTTTCATATCTAYTAATTGATAAATCCCCTGAGTACAAGGTCATGCTTTTGTTTCCTCTGCTATATAGCACTAATTATTGCATCATATATGGGTGAATTATACTGAATATACATGAGCTTTTTTTTCTTTAGTTGTAGATGACATAATAATTTTAATTTTTTTAACATTTTTTTGTTTGGAAGTGGTTGGAAACAATACCTTTATTTATTTATTTATTTTTATGTGGTGCTGAGGATCGAACCCAGGGCCTTGCATGTGCTAGACAAGCGCTTTACCGCTGAGCCACAATCCCAACCCATAATTTTATTTTTATTTATTTTGTGTGTGGTGCTGAGGATGAACTCAGTGCTTCACATGTGCTAGGCAAGCACTCTACCACTGAGCCACAATCCCAGCTCTACATGAACTTTTGATATGTTAGTTTCAAGGCAGCTGGTCCAAGGATTGTCAAAAACTCTTGCTGTATATTGGCCTACAAATAAATGCATTCAATCCAGAAAACACACGGATCTAAACAACATGTTTATTCCTGGAACTTCATTTAGGAGAAAATTTGTTTCCCAGTTTGACCTATTTTTACAATATTGACCATTCTTTATGTTGACTCTTCTTTTCTAGGGCACTGTCTTTAGTCTTGAGTCTGAGGAGGAAGAATACCCTGGTGTCATTGCAGAAGATAGCAATGACATTTATATCCTGCCTAGTGACAACTCCGGACAAGTCAGTCCCCCAGAGTCTCCAACTGTGACAACTTCTTGGCAGTCAGAGAGCCTACCTGTCTCACTGTCAGCTAGCCAGAGTTGGCACACAGAGAGCCTACCAGTGTCCCTAGGGCCCGAGTCCTGGCAGCAGATTGCAATGGATCCTGAAGAAGTCAAAAGCTTAGATAGCAATGGAGCTGGAGAAAAGAGTGAGAACAACTCTTCTAACTCTGACATTGTGCATGTGGAGAAAGAAGAGATACCTGAGGGTGTGGAAGCAGCAGCTGGGACTGCCTTGCCAGCCAGGGAGCTGCAAGAGGCATTCCCCAGAGCCCCTGCTCCCTGTTTCCACACACCACTGCCACTTTTTAGCTGGAGATGAGGGAACATGATGCAGAAATGATTGCAATTAAGAAAGCCAGCCCTGCTCCATCACTGTTTGTAGAGCTTGATGAAGAAGAGGTGAGAGCAGCAGCCATGGAACCTAGTGAAGTGGAGGAGGGGGTGCCCTCTGCACTGCCAAGTGACAAGGAGATCCCTATAAGGAAGAGGAGTTTTAGTGAGGAATCATCCCCTGCTGCAGAAGGAAAGGCCCTACTCTCTTCTGAGGGCAAGTCTATGCTGCTATTTGGAGGGGCTGCTGTTGTCGCCATCCTGGCAGTGGCAGTTGGGGTTGCACTGGCTCTGAGAAAGAAGTAGCTGCTGCTTCAGAAGAGAAAGAAGACAAGGGGATCTAAAGTTGATTTGTCCTTGCTGGAATATGAACTGGCAACTGCCAATGGGACATTTGTGGAACACTCTGGGAAGATTGAAGGTGTCCATTCAACAAGGCAGCAATGGGATCCATCTGTTAGGGCTGGTCAGAGGATATTCACCTTGGTCTAATTGTCAGTTCCAAAGGGCCTTGGCTCATTCTAGATTCAGATTCTTATAAGAGTAAAGTATTCCCTCTAGAACAGGGTTTCTCTGCCTTGGTGCTATGGACATTTTGAGAATTCCTTGTTGTAGTTCTGTGCATGGTAGGATGGTCCGCAACATCCCAGCCCCCACCCACCAGATGTCAGGAGCACCCTATTCCCAGTGAGGACAACCCAGAATGTCTCTGACATTGCCAAATGTTCCCTATGGGCAAAATCATCCCCCATTGAGGACTACTGCTTTAGAGGGAGAGGCTTTATTTAGAAAACTCTGGGGTAGAAATTTCTAGTGCAGAGGTCTTAGCTGTGGGCTTGTCACCCATTCATCTCCTTGGAGTTTCATCTTTCCCAGTGGCCATCCTGTATTCTACAGCTGTTCCTTTTAGGCTCCCACCACCCAACACACAATTTCATCTTTTAATATGAGGGTGCTCTCCCCTCATCCCACAACCTCTCAGGTACCACACTGCTCCTTCTTTTCCCCATACTCCTTTTCATCCTGATCCTGAGAGCAAGGGCTCCTCTGGTGCCCTGGCCACCTCTGACAAACCCCTGAAGCTTCCTATAGCTTCTTCTTGCAGCAATGCTGCCTTTAAGAACCTTTGAAAAAACACTTAGAAGAAAACATTATAGAGACCTTGGGTCCCCTAATTTGGGAATGCAGTGCTGGTAACTGGCTACTGGAGGATAGTCATTTAGCCAGGGATCACCCTGTTTCCCTATGGTGACTTGCCAGTAGCACCTCTCATCAGATGCTGTCTGCCCTTGGGTTAGTATATTTTCCCCAGTATCTGGCCTCAGTCTTATCCAGCTCCACTATGGGTCTCTGTGACATGGTGAAGATCATCACCCTTGGGCTTACAGAACCAATTGAGTCATATCTCCTAGTAAACATACTATCATTGAAATAAAATGATAAATATCTTTTTATTACCTAATACTAAATATCACTGAAATAAAAAGTTGGAAAAGGAAGCTTGACTTTCAAGACTGAGCCTACAGTTGAGATTCTAGATTGTCCTTCAGAGATCAAGAGCAGAGGCTCTGCTAAAGTCCTCACAGCTCAAATGTCAGGGAAAGAAACCAGAAGGACCCAAAGCAATTTATGCCAGTTGAGAATCAGCATCATTTTCAGGCTGATCCTGTCCCTAGAGGAGGGGTGGAACTGTGTTCTTTCATGCCTGAGGGCCACAGTATCACTCTGCAGGGCATACATGCTGGTAAGAAGTCATCTCAGATCTATCTTAGTCAATGTAACAGATTACTTTTTAGATCGTGAAATTGATAATAAAAATACTTTATCTACCATGATTACTAAGACCTGATGTTTTAAATGGGCTTTCTTTTTGAAATAAGATCTTCTTAAATATTTTTAGAAGTCGGTCAAGAAGAGATCCAATGGAGCTAAGGTTGTGGCTCAGTGGTAGAGGGCTTGCCTAGCACATGTGAGGCACTGGGTTTCATCCTCAGCACCACATAAATAAAGTTTTTTTTTTTTTTAAAGTTTCTATTAAACAAAAGATCCAAGCGTGTTTGTGTGACTTAACAGTGTCATCATGCATCATATCTTTTTTGTTTTGTTTTTGTTTTTGTAATGCTAGGGATCAAACCCAGGAAACTGAGCATGCTTGGCCTGCACTCTGCCACTGAGCTTTCCCCTGCCCCCAGCCCATGCACTGTTTCTTTATGTTCTGATTTTCAGCGTCCCATCTGAAGAGTAGTGTTTCTTAAGGATTTTGTTCACCTTAATTAACATAGCTGGAGGTGAGGGAGTGAAATAAGGTTGATGAAGTGAAGACCTATTTTTATCTGTAGGTTCTGACACTTGCATGGGATTATTCTGTATTACAATTGCTTTTTCACTTTATTTTATTATTTCATTTTATTTTACATTTGCATTATTGTGGATTGAACCTAGGGCCTTGAGCATGCTCAACCAGGGCTCTACCACCAAGCTACACCCAAGCCCCGCCTTGTTTTAAATTTTATGGTACTTTAAAAGAGGGTCTCACCAAGCTGCCTAGGATGGCCTCAAACTTGTAATCCTTCTGCCTCAGCCTCACAAGTAGCTGGGATTACAAGCGAGTGACCCTGCACCTGGCTCTAATTGCTGTACTTATGGTGGCATAGGTTTAGATCAGAGAGACCAGTGAGTTAGGACCTTGATTTCTGTTTTCTTTTCATACTAAAATGTGCATTCTTCTGTGCACTCTCATACCCATAGGCTGCTCTGGTTATGCACTGGCAGGATCCAGGTTCATTTCTGAGCTGCCAAGAGACAATGTATGGGTTAGGACATTTGGGTCCGCGCTCTGCAAAGGCAAGAATAAGGAAGAAGTGTGATATTGAACTGGCTACTTGCTGCCTTTTTTGCCCAGCTGTTGAACATTAACCTAAAGTAATTTGGCCAAGTGTATTTTCTGGGTAAATACCCTTTGTTAGTTGCTAAGTAGTAGAATGTGTCACTGTCTCTTTTCTTTCCTTACTTTCTGAACCTCTGCCTCTGGCAGTGGGAAGAAGTAACTATAATGAGGGATTCTTCTTGCTACAGCCCTTAGTTTTTGCTATTACATTTGAATTGTGTGTGTGTATACACATACACACACACACACACACACACACACACACATATATATATATATATATATATATATATATATCTCAAATTCCTCTACCTCTTTTGGGGAGGGTGGTCTGGTAGTATCAACCTATTCCTTCTTGTCCCCTGATACACATGACATCCAAGTCTAAGCTAAAAGAATGATCCAGAATACACCCAACTTCTTTAGGGGATGCAAATGTAGAACTGAATATCACCCTGTTTGTCATCCTTTGTTCTTTGTGAACTACAGAGGAAAATTTTGTTAGTTTATGTAGAACATTTCTAGTCCCCCCAGTGTTGGAGATGGAACCCGGATCCTTGAGCATGTTGGACGAGTGCTCTTTCACTGTACTATGTCCCCAGTCCTCTATAGAACTCTTTTTTTTTTTTTTCTTTCAGTACTTGCAGGAAATGAAACCCACATGCTCAGTATAGAACTCTTCTTAATTGATCTATTGAATGTAATGATTTCTGATTACTTGGCAAAAAAAAAAAAACCAGTGAAGGTTTCCTGAGAAAAATGTCAGTGTTAAAAAATGCCAACTCATCCTCTGTATTAATGTGCTAATTTTGGGCCCATAATAATCAGTACCTACCATGTGCCTTAGGAGGACTTTAGTGATCATTACTGCCCTCTAGAGAGTATTCTAGATAAAGAAATGCCACTGTCCATGCATTCCCCACCTAAAGGTATCCTTGACTCTTCTTGCTTGTGTTCCTGTCCCATCTCCTATCAAATACAGCCACTACCTGGGTTTGTTGTGTGGGGTGGAAAGGGGAGGTAAACAGTGAACCTGGAGATGTATTTTTGAACTGCAACTGCCACTAATTTTCTTAGCCTTTGTGCTAATTCCTTCCAATAATATAAAAGCAATGCATGCTCCTTGCCTTTTTTCCCTGAAGGTGTGATGTGTAGACATTTGATTTTTCTCATTTTAAGAGCTCTTTTGTAGAAATAAAAGTTTTTATAGGTGAGACATTGTATCCCTTCTTTTTCCTTTCTCTTGTCTTTTCACACAGACATCTCTTTCATAGAACTTGATGTGGTGATCATATTTGGCAAGCGGGCCAGAGGCCCTCTGATCAGTAATAGAATCAACTTTCAGCCTATGAATGAATCTCCTTTCCAACAAAATGCTCTATGCCAGAATAGAGATCTCCCTGCTGTCATCTGGGAGATCTGTGTGTTTAGGAGATGTGTTTCCCATATTAGAATGTCCTCTTCTTAAGGAAAAAAAAAAAAAACCTCTGTGTGTTTTTTGCAAATATTTTTGCAAATATTAGCTGCACCTTGGCAACACACCAGAGCTTATTCCTGGGCCTCGCCTACCTTCACACACTATCACAGGCCTAATGCCTATTCCTATGTCTGTGCTTCTACAGACTGAAGAAAAGAAATCTAACCACAATTTTGTAATTTTCTTGAAGTCTTGTAGTATATAAGAGACAAGGCTACAATTTGACTTAATCTTGACACCATGTTTAGTGCTTTTTCCAAGTTCTTGCTGTTTGAGAAAGATAAGGTAATGTTCAGCACTTCTAATCACAGCTCATGTCTTCCTCCTTAGATGCTGAATGAGATGCCTTGTGGGTGCAGAAGAATTGTCAGTGCTGGTGACTTCTCTTTTGCTTTCTTGGTTAATGTGTTGGGTGGTTTTGCACGCAAGCAAGGCTAGGCAACCTGACATGGGGATCATCACCAAATGCTAAGGGAGCCAGGTGCAGGTGACACCATGACACATTTTTCTCTCTTCCCCTTCCCCTAGTTTTTGGTCCTCTCTCTTCCTCCTTCCCTGCTGACCATACGCCTGTAGATTTTGCTTGGCCTTTCCACACTCAGAGTTCACGACCAGGATTGACCCAGATCTTGCTCAGCTGACCCATGACTTCACAGTATAAACCCTTCCCTTACCATACATAGCAGAATGTCAATTCTTGCTTTGCTAATAGAGCCCAACTGTATAGCAGGGAAGAATGAAATTCAATCATTACATTATAGTTACCTCCTTTATCAAGAGGACTCCATGGAAAGTTGGAAACTGTCGTGTTTCTAAAATATCAGTTCATCCCATCTTCCCTTTAGCCCCCACCTGGCTTGTGTGTTTCCTGGTTCACTCCATTGGGGTCCTCTCCATGTTGATGTTTAATCCACAGGACGCAAACCAGACAGTGACTTCATTGTAGCTCAAGTGGGAGTTGTTCTCAGGGATATTTGCAAGGCCTTGTCATAAGTTCAGAGTAGCAGCTGCTCACCTCTTCCCACCTCTCCTGAGGGGGCCTTTTATAGTTATATTGCTCACCTCAGTGGGTGATCTTCATGCAACTAGGAAAAACTGAATGTACAATTTAAACAAAGGTATTGACACTTTAAGATTACTAGTTTGCTGCCTTTTTCCCCTTGAAAAAGAAAATGAAGTACTTCTTCCTTGTAAAGAATCTGGAATAAGTTGGATTATTACTGATGTTTTCTAGCAAGAGAACTA